TTTTTAATCATTTAATATCAGAAGTGATTTTTTCACCTCCGCTTAAGTCTTAAAACCACGGTATTGACATCAAATGTTTCCACTATGGGATTTCACAAATTTGATAGTACCCTCTTAACTGGTCTATAAATGTATGGCCCATAACAAACTTGAACAACACATACGAATTTTGCAACTGTATTGCATATTTTACAGCTGTCGCTTACACCGCATTTAAAAGAGACTTTCTTAGTGCGTAGTTTAGCATTCTTCTCTGAAATATCTTGGTATCATCCGTAGAATACCTTTGATATTCACTTCAAATTTCCTTTGAAATTTTCATTGATCTAGCATAGACCAATATCCTTGGAAAGTTTCCAAGGTGCAGAATTTATTTTCGAGAAAAGGAAGTTTATTTTCCCCGATTTGTTCTCTTTATTCAAAACTTTACCAAGTTTGTTTCCCGGCGTTTTAAAATTTCTTGAATTTGTCCGGTTATAATTGTTTATTTTTTGACAGATATGCATATTTCGTCATAACTACTGTAGACTTCCTTAGTGCAAAGCACTCTATTTAAAAATTTTAATAATATTTTTCACACCCTACCTATTGATGGGAAAAGTGAGTTTAGTGACTATTTTTAGGTGACTTTTTGGTGTAAAAAGTAACTTGTTAGTGACTGACTTAAAAATAGTGACCAAGCCACTAAAAAGTGACCTGCTACCAGCCCTGCACTTATGTGCATGTGGACTTCACGTTGATGTACTGATCATCTAAGAAGTTGCCCGAGGCTGAAAATCTGTTTGAAAAGGTCTTTAAACTAGATCTAAGACGTTGTTGTCCTCGGAAAATTTGTTCAGGTAATTGAAACCTTATGGATGGGAGTCAGATTAGTTCACAACTTTCTCACTACACGGCGATTGTATGTCTATTATTAGGATAGCTTTTGTCATCAGAAAAACTTTGCCGAATACGGCAACTTTTTAGATCTAGATGATCAGATTTTCGAAATATAGCACATACTGCATGTTCACATGCATACTTGCGCTATGATGTCAGAAAATTGTGAACTAATTTCTCTGCCATTCAAAAAACGATGATCGCTTGAGCAAGTTTGCCGAGAACAGCTACTTCTCCTAGATGGTCAGGATATCAAGATAGTTTATAGGTACAGGAAGCTTTTCTTCTTCTTCTTCTTCGCATTTCAAGCTTATTGCATATCGCATATTAGCTTATTGCCTGCTCTCAACTTAGTGTTCTAGATGCACTTCCACAGTTATTAATTTAGAGCTTTCGATGCCATTTCTGCATTAGTACAATTGTGTGGCAAGTACAATCATAACTCTATGCCAAGGGAAGTCGAGAAATTTTCCAACCCGAAAAATACCTAGACCGGACCGGCAATGGAACCCAGACAACTCCAGCATGGTCTTGCTTTGTAGCTGCGCCTTTACTGACTGAGCTAAGGGAAGTCCAAGGGAGGTACAGGAAGTTTACATGTACACTAACACCGCGTAGTGATATATTTTAAAATTTATCTGTTCACCATCACCATTTGGAAGACCTTGTTCATCTTACCAACATTGCCGTAAACATCTGCAGATGTTTTACCACTATTATAGATATTCTGGATTTTTCAGTGCATCCCTCGAGGCCCCCGTATTCCGTATTCATTCTGATAAGGGCCTGAAAAGCCTGATGTATTGTATCAATTCTAACCTTGACGCATAATACATCCGATCCAAATGTGGCCATCTTACCCCAATACAAGTCAAGCTGTAATAGGGTAGAGCGGGGCTAGTAGTTTAGTGTTCAGAACAAAGTTCTACAACTTTTTCTTTGTTATGTTCTTATGGGTATTACAATCGTTCAAATATTGTGATGAGTTTATACTTCCTGTAAAAAAATAAACAGTTCAAAACAGTATACCATTTTTTGATGTTTTGTGTTTTTCGAAAGGTTGTCATATTAACCAACTTCCCTCTACCCTAACTCATAACTTAAAGAAAAAGTTTTATTTGTCTCTGTAAGTACGTCGTACAGACTTGTGTTTTTCAAATAGCAACATTACTTTTACGTAATAAATTATATATGGGAAATGGCCCTAATGTTGGCCTATGGATCTAAGATTGGGCCCATCGCTAAAAATCGGCTATTTTTCAATTTTATCTAGATGAACGCGTCATTGGGACTAATGGATATTTTTAATCGCTATTGAAAATTTAATCGATTGCTGAATTTATGTATGGGTCCAAATTAGGGGCATTTAGGCCGACATTACATCCATTTCCTCTAATAGCTCTAAACCACAAAAATAAACAAAATAACAAATGCCGGCCACCGCCATACACAATGTTAACTATACTATAACAAAGAACTCTAACAATTTATTATTTTTAAGAATTGATTGTTTCAATAATTCCAAGAGTGGTCGTCTTCCTCCGTCGTCCCCAAATTAAAGGAACCAAAGGATCTGTTAGGTTTAATCGGCTAGACAATCAATCCACAAATTACCCAAGTGGCAAACTCAACAGGAGTTCTACAGCTTTGCTATTACAACGTTTGAAGAAAACAATGAGGAACAGAGCAAAAAGCAGAAACGACCAGCTCCATAACAGAAAAGTTTATATTAGGTACGCTCCTTCTGAACAATTGGCACGTGGCGCTACCGTAGCGCCCACTTTTCCCGGATTCGCACCGTCCATATTTAGCAATATACCTCGTTCGTTATACACGAGCCTTATTTACCTTTACTCTGCTGCGACGATGCTGGCGTACGTCGTTGCATGACGCAAATGCTCTGAAGTCGATTTCAACTGGGTAGTTGTTGGTCGTTGCGAAACGCTACTATACTTTTTTGCTGCCGTTGTGGTTCTATGTCACCTTGTGTTACCGCTACCTCGAACTATACCGAACACAACTTTTCCAGTTCAATTAATTTAAATATAATTCCTATCTGGAGTTCACTTTTTCCCTTGTTGTTTCACTGAGTCTGCATCGCTACGATTGTGTAAAGATTACTTTTTTCTTCTACCATCAGGGAGTGCTACACACTTGTCTCGTCTGATCATAGAGTTCCGAGCATGGAGATCAACGAATGAGTTGAGGTAGAAACGAGGAAAAATGGAAAATATAGACACACATCGGTGGAATAAGCATTATAATAAATGACACAACTATTTTTCATTCGTTTGAATGCTACTGTTCCACCTCGTTATGGGTTCGCTACTTGGAAGACCGTCCATCCATCCATCCTTCCATACATCCATCTATCCGTTCCGTACATTTCTCCCCATCTACATCTGACAACATTATACCGACCGGCGGAGTTTCTGGCTCCAGTTGTTCAAATATACACAAGAAAGACTGCTAAAACGGTCACCTTATCACAAGCGCAAATTCACACACAAACTGAGGGTACTTTATTCTCATTCTATCCCCTACACAGACACACGCAGCCACACGAAACATGAATCACGCTGTAGAGCAATTTGTATCAATATCCGTGGCGTGCCACTGGTTTTAATAATGTTTACAGATTTATTCTAAGCAGCGAAACAGGAATATCCCAAATCGTGTTTTCGGATGTCGATGGAGCAGAGCGCGGCGATGTTGTTGTTCTTGACTTGCATACCTATAGTCTATATGTATAGTCGGTGGAGGCTAAAGTGCCTCTCAGGCTGAAGGAGATAAAGGGAGAATGTGCAGAGGAAAGCGAGAGCAATAAGACGTTGATGTTACCGAAAACAGAAATAAAAATAAAATGAAAATGGCAACATCTTCACCGCAAATCCACCTTTTCTGGCAAGTACATTGTTGAGCAAGATTATTCGGAAACAATCTTCTCGAGAACCTTGATGTATAGCGTATTACCTAGAATTTTATTTAGGCAGCCAAATTCATTTTAATCATATCAAGGACAAATTTTCAAAAGGAAGTATCTGCTTTTGTATAAAGCATATGCAAAATCGCAGGGAATCTTTGATTCATATTATGTAAGACATCAAATCACATTGATATTCAATCACATTAATATATGTTTCGGATAATAAGAGTGCCCACACACTTATTAGCTTTGAGCAATTATCGCTGAAACCGACTACTTTTTGATATAGGTTTATAAATAAAAATAAAAATCTTTTGTAATCATCGATAGCTCTCATTATGAATTCAGAAACTCATTCTACATTATGGTTAATAGACGGACGGACTAGGGGCTCACAAAGTTTTAGAAAAAAAAATCGTTTTTTGCAACTTCTTGGATGATTTAATTCGAATTAAATCTAAAGATTATAATCCTAATGTTTGCGCACTATTTGAAATGGAAACGTCAGAGCATTCATTTAACATGTTTAGTAGTTTTGGCGGTCATATTGAATTTAGCCGCCATATTATATTTATAAAAAGCATTTCATAATCTTATCTCCCATCAATTTAAAAACTTAACACGACATTTGAAATTGATGTTTTCTTTTCAAAAACAGATATACCAAAACTTTCATCCAGCTATGTAAACGATCCAATCGGACGGCCTCTGTCGATCTGCGGTACTTTCAATATCACTTGTGGTGGTCGTAATTGTGCTGCGGGTGGCACAGCACGGTCCTGAACAAGAGTGTGAAAAGGAGAAAAACAAACAAAACAAACAATGGTCTCCAGCACTCAAGTAGGGGTAAATAGCGTAAAACGCACCAACACGATATAAATAAGAAAACATTTTGATCCACTGTTTATTTCATCTTGATCTTGTTAAAAATAAATTAAAAATGAGAATTCGTTCGGCATTTTTTTTATGTAATGCCGGTCACACTAACAAGTTGTAACGTGTTATAAAAGGCACAAGAAAAGGGCATCACAATTGATATTGTATCACGAAAACCGCTTATAATACGTTAACAAATCGCTAGTCTGAAGATGACAATAAACTTAGACTTAGCAATAAGACATGTGTTTAGTTCCCGACGAAAGTGGCGCATATTATTTACTCGGCGAAAAAATATATTTAACACTTATAGTGAATTTGTTTATTACAGATTGGAACCAGTTCCAACCAGTGCGAACTATAGTCGCTATATTCATAGTCTGGCGGATAGAATTTCGATCTATCAAAAAGCGGAACCAATTTAATATATTGTAGACCAGCAATTGAAAACGTACTATCAACTTTTATAAAGAAAACGTTGATTATTCTTTCCTCACCAATCGAACGCAAATTACCAGCATCATCGGATAGAAGAAACTTTCCACAACCTACAAACGGTGTTAGTTTGTGTAGGTGAGCCTTGAGTAACGAGAAAACGATTTCCGAAAATTTGTTCGCAATAGCTGATGTGCTCTTTTCTGTTGTTGATCGTGATTTGCTCGATTGGTTCCGCTATTTGACAGCTCAATTGGTTCCCGAGATTTTAGCCGCCAGACTATGAATATAGCGACTATAGTGCGAACCAGAGCTTATTGTCAGTGCGAACCTTAACCAGAGCCAGGCTACAAAAACTAACGTTCACACTGACGTTTAACAGACAACAAGCAGACTCAATCTTGATATCCGATCCAGGTTGGAACGGAATCAAAAACAAATTCATTATTAGAAAATAAATAAAAATGTTAGACAGTTTCTCGGTGTCAACCGACCCATTTTCGACTAGGTGCCTGTCCACATTAATTTTTGTCTGTCAGAAATAAGTACGCTGGAACGAATGAAATTAACGTACAAAATCCGATTTTGTTTGTATATATGACTAAAATGTTTATACTATAGATCAGCGGATCTCAAACTGTTGTCGATTGTAACCTACTTTGAGGAATTACATAAGCTCGCGACCCGCTAATATTACTTACAAAATGACCTTATACACTCAAAAATGGATACAATACACACCAAACAAACAGCCTTCATACTTGCATACAGCTAAGGAAGGACATTAAAAGGTTAAAAATGGCACATAATCGAATAAAAAGGCTTAAAACGCTGGCTTTTTTAAAAACTAGTTCGTTTATTTGGAAGGCTCAACGCTGGCTTTTAAAATCGTGCCTAAAAATAGTCTGGAAAACATCAAAACACCAAAAATGGTCTCATAATCGTAGTTTAGCGATCATCACAAAAATAGCTTTAAAATAGCCTAGATTAGCCAAAATGTTGTTGATATTGACACTCTAAACGACAACTCTTATAATAATATTGAAAACTAAAAATCTCATAATAATATTTAAACGCCAAAAATGGCCCAAGATAGTTCAAACTAACTTTAGAAAACCAATCTGAAATTAAATGATAGAATAGCCTTGAAAACGCTAAAAACCGCCAAAAAATATTAATTAATTACAATCAAAGGCATTCGACATCCCTAATTGAATTTTTAACATGTTGTTATTGTTAATTTTGCATGCAATTTGCATGAAATTTAAAAATATATGACCAACCTGTCTGAATTTCTGCGACCCACCTGAGGGCAGCCCACGACCCATAGATTGAGAAACGCTGCTATCGATTAAAGATAATTCATCCAGCTCAAACCATTATAGGGGTAAGTGGTGGAACCATCAACGTCATTAGCAGGGTTATTAAAAAAACCCATCTGTCAAATTTTACCGGTTGTAAAACAGCCTTAGAGTATAGCATCGCCGGTGGTGTAGTAGTAAGCCTCTCACCCCAAAGGGCCTGGGCTCAATCATAATCGGACCGCCAAGATTTTGAGGCATAAAATCTCTGATTTAAAGTCGTTGGTCCCCGGGCTATGGGTTGTGATGGGTCGATAGGTAGCACCCAGGTGTGGCCTCCCTGGAGTTGGTAGCATTGGTACACACTTAGATTTTTTTACAGAAATCTGTAAAATTTTACCGAAATCTCAACAGCTGAACAAGTAAACAGTTTTGCGGATTTCCTGTAATTTTTCACAAATATCTGTGAATTTTTTACAGATATCTGTAAATAATTACAGGAAAACTGTAAAATTGTTTACCGAACGTTCAGCTGTTGAGATTTCGGTGAAATTTTACAGAAATCTGTAAAATAATCTTAGGGTGTACTCAGTACGGCAAACAAATCAGGGAAAAAAAACCTTAGAGTACTTTTTTAAATTAAAATCAAATGGTTCCAGATGTTGACACGTTGTTTCCAGTAGCTTGTAAAAGATCCATGGATGCATTCAATTAGAATGCATAATTTGGATCAATGATTAGTGAAAATCGATCGTTTTCTTAAGCGGCGCGTATTACATCACATTCCCGTGAGAAAATTTGCATTTTTCCTCCGACGCCAAATTTGGTGACGTAAGCACCAGACCTAGCACCTTTTATTCACACGCCACATCCATGGATCGCGTAGTTGGGTGGTATTTTAACAGGTAGCTAAGCTGCATGGACTGCGGTCAATTGTCTTTGTTCTTGACATCGGCTGAGCTTTGTGGTGTTGTGGGACGACGGTGCCGTTTGCAGTTATTTTTGCAATCCTGGTAAATTGGGGCAGGTCAATATGAATGGTGTGCCGTTATATGAATATCGGAAACGAAAGTTAGGTGTTGAACTGCTTACTTTGCAACAAGGTACATGGTGGTAATTGCGTTTCCAATTCAAAATTCTATGGATTTTCCTGCACGGTCGTTGAATCTTACTCACTGACTGAGATTGCCATATTTTTCTATTAGGGAAATATTACTCAGGTGCCATAAAAAACTGGGGTTACTCAGAGCTTTGAGATAGCAATAATACATTTTTACTCAGTCACTGAGTAGCATTCCAAGTCCTCGATCAATTTGCAATATTTAAAAAATTTCCCGGCCTAACAACTACAAGGGCTGGATGTGGATATGCGATGGATAATAGTGATGGCTTTAGTGACAAATAGTGACTTTTATTTAGCAAAAATAAGGAAAGTGACCAATAGTGATATATAGGGTGCCCCAGAAAGTATAAATACGAAGCGAAACCTACAATAAAGCCAAAACGCTTACATCGACTAGCGCACGATAAAGTTTCTCTGTAATACAGCTTGATGGATGGCGAATGGAAAATCCAGGCCTCCGCCGTTCGGAAAATTTCTCCAATTAAATCCAGTAAATCCAATTAGCAGTAAATTTATTCCGAACTTGTACAGACTTTGTTCAGTTTACCAAATTTATTGATAAAAAATAAATTTTATAAATTTTCTTGATTTTTCATGTGTAACGGTCATTTGAAAATTTAACCGACTTCTTCTGCTGTTCAAAAACTCGGTAAAATTCTGAATTAAGTGTGTAGCTTGATCGGAATGGTGAAATGACAGCCTTACGTATATCATCTCCTGTGTATGTTTTGAAAAGCTTGCAAACAATTTTACTTTTTCCTTCCACCAAGGCAGACGAAAAAAACGCAAGAGGATATTCTCATTATTACTTGCTGTAACTGACAATGCGTTATCATTTGGCACGTTGATTGTTTGCTGTTTTTTCAGTTTGAGATATTTTTTAATTCCCTGTGAAATTTCTTCTGCAGGTACGAGAAAGCGAGTAATGGCGCTATAGCCATAAGTCATAAAAGGCTAGGACAAGAGTTAGTGCTCATGCCCCAACCGTCAGAAGAAAATGGAGCATCACCCAACCTTTCTAGCTTTGATGCTTCCAACGACCAACCAATCATATAATTACTAAAATTAGAACGTACGGTACGAGATGTCCACGTTTCATCTATTTATTGGATTCTGATTCTTCGATTTAAACAGGCCTGATGTTTTCTGAATCATCTTGCCCCTTAAATGCTGCACAGTAGGCCTGGCCGTTTTGATATGTGTGACGCATCTTTGATGTGGAACATATATCAAAAGACAAGAAAAATGATGTAGGTACATTAATATCAGAATGCTTTCAAGAACTAGCTGTGTTGGTGTTAGATTAGATTAGATTAATTTTTTATTCCCTGTGAAGTTTTAGTTAATTTTCGTGTGGTTCGTAGAAAACAAAAATTCAAAATATTGTTTGATTTCGAAGTTTACGTTTTAGGAGAATTTACGTATTCTCGGCAATCTAAGCAGCGTACGCATTTCTATTGGTAATTTCTCAGCGTCACGCACACACATGACGCGTTTGTTTGTTTACATTTATCTTATGCTTGCTATTCTATCCATTCAAATCGACGGTATTGACCAGAATGGTTTGAAAACGTTTTTACAATGCTCCAAACTTCTCAGGTGAGTGTGACTATTGTCGGCAGCCGCATTTTCTTCGGCAACCCTTTCATTAGAACTGCGTGTTAACCAGCTGTTCTATTATCGGCAATTCGAAATTAGCCGCATTTTGAAGTTCGTATTTTTCATTTAAAGAAAAAATCTGGCATAACTGGTCAGTCGTAAAAATGTAATCAGATTGAAGCTGAAAGACTAAGGAATGGTTTGAATACATTCAGCGAAGTGTTTTGGTGAGAAAATACAGCGAAACTAACGTTTAAATTTTGGTTGCCGAAAACAGTCAATGGGTGCCGAAGCCGACAATTACTCTAGTAAATCTAATTTTGAACTGTTCGAATGAAGTGGTCAATTAATCTCTTAGAGCAGTTTAAAATTACATTTCCTACCACTCGATCTTTGCCGTGAAACAATATGTTGATAAAAATTCGTCTAGAACCTCGGGAAAATAGCTAAAACAAGAATTGAAAGAAGCGGAACAACCAAACGTAAACAATGGCTTTAAACGCAAATTTCTAAAGAATCAAAACACACCCACGCAAACTAAAAATGCCATGCGATAAAGGAAGTTTGCTCTATTAGATGCTGGTGTTGGATTGCGTGGATGTGTTTTCATTGTCGAGACATTGGCGTTTAATGCCATTGTTTACGTTTGGTTTTTCCACCTATTTCAATTTTAGCTCTGGATACCCGAGCAAAGCTTGAGATCAAATTGAAATCAAATTTTGCTGTTATGATGTAACTTTTTTTGAATACTCCAGTTGATCTCATTTTGGTTGACTTAACGGTTAACACAGCAAAAATGAGAGCAGAATTTTACACTGTTGAATCAAACGGAAAACTAATCCTGCTTTCAATAAAATCAATTTGATTTCTG